GTAGTTTCTGAATTATGTTGGCTCTCGTAGCCAACATAATTCTTTGCAGCTACCTTCTCAAGGTGATTATGGAAGGTGAGGGTCCAGTCAAGTTTCACACCGAGGTATGTAGGGCTGTAATCATGTTGCATATTTTTATTATAGAAAGCTACTTTCAGTGTGTTTTTGGCACTCCTATTATCAAGATGAAATCTGCTTAATATTGTTTTTCCAGGCTTTGGTTTGAGTCTCCATTTCTGGAAGTATTGGCGATATGGGCGATAACCACATAATAAACTGCAGGGCCATTGTAAGCTCCTTGGGGCATGCATTATGTCTTCCAGTGTGTTTGTACAACACAATGGTGCCCTCAATGATCCTGCCCAAGTACTACCACATTACCTATAAAAATAATGTGATGAATGGCATTGTCATGCACCTTTGGAGGCACTCTGCGCACTAATCCATTGCTACCGGGACTACGTTCAACATTCCAAGCCTCTGCACAGCGTCAAAAAATTGCCATGTCCTTTCTTGAATATTATGGACATGTACAGGTAGAACAGGTTTTTATATCTGCACATGAAAAAGATCAATTGGAAGAGGTCATTCCAGCCCACCCCTTGTCCAATGCTGGATTGTTCCCTACCATACGTTTTCTAGTGCTTTTCCAGATGAGTTTTAAAATGTCCCAAGCAATGCAGCTCACACCATTACCCTTGGGAGACTATTCCCTAGCTAATAGTGAGACCTATTACTAAGGCTCTTCTGATTTTCAACATAAAATTTTTCCATTACTCTTAATTATAACTCCAGGGACCACCCAAAATAGTTTCCTTTGTTCCTTCATCTTTACACTTGCAGACCTTTATGCCATCTCCTAAACATATTTAGCTCTTTAAATCTCTCCTCATAAGTCCATGTCTCCACCTCCCTGATCAGTTCAGTTGACTCTCTTCATTTTGACATATGCACCTTTCTGATCTGCAAGAGGACATCCTGCTATTGCCAACCAAAGACAGAGACTGATGCTACATGGGGTCCAGCTGCAGAGCGAGAGGAATTTCTAAACATCTAGCTAAACTTACCATGGATGGTACCAGACAAGAAAATAGTCACAGATGTCCCTATTTTCCTGTTTATCTCAAAAAGACCCTGAGATTTCCCCCACTGCCCACAACGTGCAGATGACACTGATCCCAGAATAAAAGTGTTGCTGCTTTTCCAGTGCTGTGCAGCAGGATTAGACTCGTGTGCTCTCACAGGCATCAGGGAGCTGTAAACCAGTAATTTTATAGTCAAGGCAAAGTTTTGTAGATGAAGGTTGGCACAAACTGACACAGCCTTTTCAGAAAGAGGCCCGGGGGTATTAACATCTCTGCATCAAGACAGAAATGTGCTCTGTGTGCGTTTGGGGGCACAGAATTGTGTCCTGTTCCTTTATTCTTTATTTACAAACTCTTTGGGGATTCATTCCACAAATGGATCTCACAGAGCTATGTAGACTAGGGATCTTTTTCTTAAAATGAACAGACCAGCCACACCCACAAACTGTAATACAGTTTGCAAATTCTGAAGGACGCAGCGTCTGACAGAAAAACCCTTCCTGCCTTATTTATCAATGATCTCTATTTAATAGAGTCTGAACGGTTTATACTATACATCTCTGTGGTATCTGAACACCTACCTTTATCTCTGCTCTTCATACTTACCCTTACCTGAACTGTTGTGCTGTGCTTTGTCTTGTCTATATTAGATTGTAGACAACACAGGGCAGGGATTATGTAGTTTCTGTGTTTTGCAGAGCACTGTGTACTTTGTGTGATGCTTATTAAATAGTTAAATAATGCTTATTAAATAATTATTCTCTGTAATACAGCTGCTGCTATAACTGCTGAAGCTCAACAGGCTGGTGGAGCCAGTGCCACAACACAGAAGTATTCTCAAGTGAGGGATGTAATACATACCTTCAAGGATACAATGAATCATATACCGACAGGGTGGGGGTGATTTGCTGTGAACAGAAGAGTATTGCACCCCAGTCACCACACCTCAGAGCTGAGGAAATAGCTAGTAGCTTATGGCTTTGAAGTTCTACTCCACTTTTTCAGTTTATGGGGCAAGAGTTTTTCCACTAACAGCTTAAAAAATGCACTGTCTATATTATTAGTTTTACATAATTCAGGGTAGGGAGACTAGATGGCACAAGAGGGAAGGATTATTTCAAGCAACATAAAAATGTAACAATCCTCCGGCCAAGCAGGGATTGGAGCGTTTAATCACTATGGAACTGGATTTTCCACCTTCTACAAAAAGGATTGGTGGATTTATAGGGTACTAATGACATAGTCACTGACAGCCAATAGAAAAGCTTTGTCCATGTCCCCTATTCCAGATCTACTTGATCATATCAGCTGAAAAGAGTACTGTCTGATTTCTGTCACACAAAGCTCCAGTCCTCTCTCATTACAGTCCCAGCCTGTTGGCTGCAGCATAGAAATGCATGGAAGTACCCTCCTGGGTTGCCATTACTGCAGAACCCAAGCATGGTAGGAAAACACTGCAGAGAACAATCCCCTGTATAGGGTGACCAGATTTTCATGGTAAAAGACAGGACTCCTGCTCCTCAAAAAAGGGCATGGAAGTGTTCAGGGAGCTGGAAAGGAGAGAGAAAATGGAGTCCACAATTCAGCCAAATAGCCACCACCTTTTACTCCCCAGGCCTCCTTTCAATATAAAACCTGAGCCACATGATTGCGAGAGGCCAGGTGGGAATAGACAGTACTCACCCATGCTGTGTTCCCTTTGCTGTATTTCCTACTTGCATCTGCTGGCTCAGGGTTTTTGGAATATCCTTCTTGTCTAAGCTCTGGCTTATTTCCTGCCTTTAGCCTCGTCCTTCCAGGCTTTCTAATATTCTAGAGGTCTGTCGCATCTTAGGCGCATTTAACATGTGCGATTTCAGCTTTACGCGGTCGGCAAAAACAAAAACAAAAAAAAAGAGAAAAATAACAATTTAAATACTGTTTCTGTAGTGCGGGTGATTCCGCCCGCCATTACACTCAATGTAATTTTGACTATACGCGATTTTTGCCTTAGGCGCTGACTGTGGAACGTAACCCCAGCGTAAGATGAGACAGACCTGTACTCTCTCCTTCCCTTTTCCCCTCTTTGTTCTTTTGTTCTCTTGCTGTTTACTGAGCACCCCCCCATGGCCAGAAGTGCCTCTGCAGCACCCTCTGTTCACCCTCTTTGGGGACCCTTAGAAGCTTCCCACAGACTCTCCGAGACTACCACCACCAACAGCCTGGGGCTGGGTTAACCATCAAAATCAGTTCAAAATAGTCCTCAGTGTCCCAAATGTAAAGTCCATTTCAGCAACACAGAACTTCATACTCATCTCTGGCTCTTCTGCTGCACACGGAGCTCTTATTCTGCCTCAGACGGATCTTCGTGGAGCTGCCAGTCCTGTTGTTCCTAGCTGGGGCACTGGCTGCATTCTCCCTGTCAGTGCGGTCCCTGTTCTGAGGGAGAAGACAACATATATACTGTACTGCCCTCCGTCAGAGCTTCCCCCCATTAGTTGGGAGAGAGGGGAGCCCTGCCCTAACCAACAGGGCTCCTGGTCCAAGGCCCTTAAAGGGACAGTGTCTTGGTTTTCCCCATCCAACTACTAATCCCCCAAGACCACTTCTTCTCTTCCTGCTACCAGGCCATTTCCAGGGCCTCTATTTATTCCAACGTTCCTGCAAGGGAGTCTCTGGCCCCCTCTAGTGTTAAAGGGCCAGTATACCCCATTACATGATTACTTTTCTGCTCATTCTTTCTCTCTTTTCTTCTTTAGTTGGCTCCCTCTTTCCTCTTCCGTACCTAGCTCTCATGGTTCTCAACCTGCTCTCTCACATCCTCCTCATCTTTCTCCCACCAGACTCCCTTTTGGCCCCATTCCTCACACTCCAATATAATCCACTGTAGGGCAGCTGAGAGTGAATGAGTCTCTGACTCAGTGCAGAGATGGGCTGGCATGAGGATATGGGTATAGGGGCACACAGTGCATCATTTCCTACAGAGCCTGCTGCTGCGATTGGTGTAGTGGGACCTCAGCGAGAACCAGCACTTCTACCACATTCCCTATAGCGCCTCCTGCTAGAAAAGACTAGGACTGCAGTAGCTGGGAGCTCCCCCACAGTCAGCACTCTTACCCTGTTCCCTACAGTGCCTCCTGCTGGAGCAAGCTGAGCTGCCCTCAGCTGGAGCTCTGAGTCGTTATCTACCTGGACACCTCCTGAGAGAGACGAGTGTTAAGAAAGCAGGCCGCACTCCCTAACAGGATAGGAAGTGATTTATGCCCATTCCCTGAATGTCCCCATAGGTATTTCAACCCAGAGGACTATAAACATCTCCATTTATAATACTGAGAGAGGTTCTTTGGGACTGACATTCTTGTGCCAGTCTGTAAGCATTATATGACATTCCAGCAGGGTATCAAGCAAGCAGGGGGGCAGAAGACAAAACAGAAGTTAATTTCAACTGGATTTTTGGGACCTCTATAATATGCAAGATCATGTGGAGAAGAAGAGACTGGAATGAGAGAGATCATCCAAGCTTTCAGGAGCCACTGGAGGTATTGATATTCTGAGATGCAATCAGAGCTGTTTCTTGACATTGGACCACAGTTCCCTACCCAGGCTGCTCCCCCATCTAAAGGAATCTAAATGTTTCTACTTGTGGAATCCCCTCCCAGTTCTTTTAGTCCAGGGGGTAATGATGCCATAGAGGTGGAACCCTTCCACCAACCCCAACAGGGATCTACTGAGTTTCCATCCCCTCCCTGAATGGAGGAGACAATATGCCTCTTGTTATTTCTGTAATACTATAGGGGAGCCCAGGAAGTAGTGGCAGAGGTGGGATTTCGTTACTGAAAGCCCATTTCAAAACAAGAGCTAAAATTTCATGACAGGAGTGCCACCCTCCAATGGAAATAAAGCTACTGGGAATGATGCACCTCCCCCCAAAATGGCAGCCCCCCAAAGCTAGGACAAGTTCCACAGCACTCTTTCTGATGAGCCACAAAATAACCGTCCTGCCATCATGCAGTTCTCAGAGACATGTGGATCATTACTATGTATGAGCCCCCATGTCCCCAGCCATGACTTCAAACCCCATCTGGCTTGGTGCATGGATTCCATGGAGAATCTTTGCTGAAAAAAGTTTGTAGCCAGACCAGTCCTGGCTGAGCTTTGGCATCCCCACCAAATCTCTCTGCTCTCCATTTGTCAATTTTAAGTGATCATTTCTATTCAATCTGATACATATTATAAGAATATAAACAAATGCCTCTTGCTGTATCAGGGCTGGGATCACTTTCCTTTATAGCCATCATTTATTACGCGCCGACAGTTGGCCGTTCCATGGAATTCCAAAGAGGCTATCACCTGGACGATCACCAGGAAACACACTTGCATTTACATTCTGTCCAAACAGATAGGTAGGAGGCCTGTGATTTATATCAAAACTTCAGTGCGCTCCAAAATTTCTTCTTTCTTTATTCCCCCCACTCTATTCACATCTTCAGAGTGAATTTGAATCCCATCAACATGGCTCATCAGGACAATCACAAGACACTGGACTAGAGGGAGAAATTCTCTCTATTTTCTTCCTAGTTTTTATTCTTTCATTTCCCTCTCTCCCCGCCACCACACACACATACTCTCTCCCTTTCCCTCTCTCCCTCCCCCCGCCCCACACATACCCCTCCCTAGAAAGGCCCACAGGTATTGACCAAAGAAGTCTGCTGGGGTATCATCCAAGATGTGCTCTTCGCCTGAGTACTGAGTGTGATGCCTTTCTAATACTTCTAGACCTCAGCTTCATTAATCAGTTTGAAAGAATGTGTCTGTATCATCTATTACTAGGTAATGATCCTATAGTGTCTTTAATTGCAACAAATCACAAAAATCTGTTTAGAAAAATCACTTTAACAATGAAATGCAGCTACCTCTGGGGTGGAATTTGGCAGCTGTTTAACAGTTCACATAACAGTTTAGGGCAGAAAGTGAATAACAGTATTGTATCTAACTAAAAATGCAAAGATAGTTTACAGAGGAGAATATAATTAGCATGGTTAGAATCTGACAGACAAAAGGATTAATGTTAACTCTTACATAAACATCTCATAAGATTTGTAATGGCCACACGTAGATGGGGGCCTTGATTTTGTATCGCCTCTAAAAAACGAGAAGCACAGCATTGTCAAGCACCATGACAGGACATTTGGTCAGTATGGAGTCAACAGAAAAACAAACACCAGTTCCATTGCAACAGAACCCTGGGTCTTCTTGAGGGGGCTTCCATCTAAGTATAAGCTAGCTCTGACCTTGGTTAACTTGGGACATCTAACAGGACTGGAGCCTTACATACAATGACTGCAAGAGAGAAAAGAGAGCAGTGGAACATAAGGATGCTGTTGGATCATGTCCCCAGACTATAACTCCCTTTCCAATGGGCATGGCTCAGAGATTTTTTTTGTCATGAAGTAGCATTATCAAACTGTTGTCCAGCACTTCTCCTCTCTCATATCTTTATAGGAAATGTGGTCTAGTGGTTAGCATACAGGATTAGCAATCAGAACTCCTGAGGTTCTAGCTCAGGTTCTGCCCCTGACTTTATCTGCAATCTTAGGCCAGTCACTTAATCTTTGTGCCCTGATTTCCACATCTGTAAACTGGGTATAACACCTGCCTATCTCCAGGGTCTGATGTAAAGTTACATTATTAATGTTGGTAAAGTGCAGTATGAACCTCCGATTAAGGCCACCATAAACATGCTAATTATCACTATGCTTCTTACCAGATTGCCATGACGCATCCTGTCATGAAGGACATCCATATAAGAGATATGATAAAACTGGAAAATGACTCCTCTTCCCATCAGGGCTCGTTCACCTGCACATCTACCAATGTGATATATGCCATCATGTGCCAGCAATGCCCCTCTGCCAT